TGATAATTGTCCAACTTTCATTATTAACAGTGTTACCCGTATTTCATTCCCTTTTTATTTTTTTGTGTGTTTTTTTTTTCTTGCTTGATTGCCCTAATTGCTTTTTGTTTGTTTAACACCCACTTGCTGGAAATGTTTATTGTGGAAAAAGGTTGACAAGAATGCTCGAAGGGCTCGCTAGGGGATTTTATTACATATTATCAGGATTGAATGCATAAGGTCAAACAAACGACCAAAAATGGCTTCCTTTCATTTCATTATTGATTGCACGTTGCATATTGAAGATTTATATGTTGAGTATGGTATATGTCAAGCAAAGCCCCTATTTGTTTTGTTTCGGCTCAGGTGTTATTCAAGGGGAACGAACTATGCTTTGGCAGCTACAGTTCTGCCCCAGTTTGGACAAAGATGATAGCTTTATTACAAGTTGGGAGGTTACTAGGAAGTTCAACTAAAGAGCTCTTGATCAACAACTGACTTTTCTTCAAGCATGCTTTTGGAACCCTTAATGGACTAATCACTCTCTTATGAATAAGCATCTTAGACAAGGGAAAGAGAAATTGGGGAAAATAATATTTTATTCATAGAAGTGGTCGGACCCATGAGATGGGCTGCTCTATGTACCCCTTTGAAAGGGATCAGGTCGGACGTAGTTCAAAAAATGGAACTAAGACCAACACCCTTGGATCTATTAAGGAGGAAATAATCATATTTTCTAACTGAGAAGTGATTGCAAGATTTTGGAAAGGATTCTATGCCTTGACTTGGTAACTGATTGGGAATTGGCCAAGGACTCTTGATTATGCTCTCCTGTCAACATAACCCAATTAACAACTGCTTCTTCTTTTGGATTTTTGGATTCTGGATTTTCCTTCTTCTTTTTTTTGAATTTTGGATTTTTCTTTGTTTTTTATTTTTCCTTGTTTTCTCATATCTTGACTTGTTTCCCTTCCTTATATTTTAGAATTTCCTTCTTTTTTTTTAAATTTTGTTTTTTTATCTTTTTTGGTATTTTGGATTGTTTTTTTTTTGCATTTTATATTTCCCCTTTTTATGGATTTTATATTTCTTTTTGGTTGTATTTTCCGGATTTTAAACTTTCCCATTTTTGTTTGGAGTTTATTTTTTATTTATTATTTTGGATTTTCCTTTTTGTATTTTTTCCTTTTTATTTTCTTTCTTTTTTTGTTTTTCTCTTTTTTTTGAATTTTTGGATTTTTCTTCTTTTTTTTTTGCACATTGGATTTTTTTATCTACTTTTTTTTTTGAATTTTGAATTTTTCTTCCTTTTCTTTCTTTTTTGATTTTGTATGTTTCCCCATTTGTTACTTGATATATTGCCATTTTTGCATTTACCGCTTTTCTGTATTTTGTTTTTTATTGATTTTGGAATTTCCCTTTTTATTTGATTTTATATTTTTGTATCTTTTTCTTGCTTTCTTTTTATTTTGGATTTTTCTTTTCTTTTCTTTTTTTGATTTTGGACTTTTCATTATATATTTTTTTTATTTTTGGTTTCTTATTTTGGATTTTCCTTTCCTTTTCTTTTTGTTTTGAATTTTCTAAGCCTTTGAAAATTTCTTCCATTTTTTATTACAAACTTTCCATTTTTGTATTTTGGTTTATTTTTTTTGTATTTTGTATTTTCCCTTTTTTCTCTTTTTATTGATTTTTGGATTTCTTTTTTTATTGGTTCTGAAGTTTCCCCTTTTTATTTGATTTGATTTTTTATTTTCTCCTTTTTTGTATTTTGGATTATTATTATTATTATTATTATTATTATTTATTTTTCTCTTTTTTTTTTTTGGTTTTTCGTTTTTTTCTTCTCTTTTTTTTTTTGCACATTGGATTTCTTTATTCCCTCTTTTTTGAATTTTGGATTTTCTTCCTTTCCTTCCTTTTTTATTTTTGTATTTTCCATTTGTTATTTTATGTATTGCCATTTTTGCATTTACCCTTTTTTGTGTTTTGTTTTTTATTGGTTTTGGAATTTTCCCTTTTTTATTTGATTTTCTATTTCTTCTTGTTATTTTTCTTTTTCTCCCTTTCTTTGTATTTTGGATTTTTCCCTTTTTGATTTTTTTTTGAATTTCCCCTTTTTGTATTTTGATTTTTTCTGAATTTTGGATTTTCCTTTTTTTTTTTGTATTTTGGATTCTCTCCCGCCTTTTTTGAATTCTTACTCTTTTTTATTTGAGATTTTAGGTCTTTTTCTTTTGTATTTTCCACTTTTTTCTTTTTGGATTTTCCCATTTTTTCCAATTTTTGTAGTTTTCTTTTTTTGGCTTTTCTCTTTTATCTCTCTCTCTCTTTTTTTTTTAATTTTTGGATTTTGTATTTTTTCTTCTTTTGAATTTTGGATTTCTTAACTTTTTATTTTTTTCAGATTTACACTTTTTATATATATATTTTAATAGGGCCCTTAGGATTGCAAATGCAAAGGTATCACACAACTAATGCGCATGGGTTTGGGGTGTGGTATCTACATCATGGTTAACATGCCACCAATCTTCAAACCTCTACCTATATGGGCTTCTTAGATTGGTAACTGGCTGAGAGCTTTCCACCGGCCTCACCGGGTTCCTAATCTCGACGGCCCAAGTGTACCGGACTCTCTCCTAATAGGATGATAGGTGCTAAATATCTACATATGTAATGCATTGTGCAAATGCTCATTCATCAATTTATATAGAAAATACGAATGAAATGGGCAAATCATAGCAAGTCCTAAGAAGGTGGTAACACAAGAAATATTTAGGAATTATTCATCTTAAAGAAAGAGAGCATGACAATAAACTAACCTCATACAAAGATCAACCAATACAGATACGAAACAAATATTAAACAAACACAAACAAATGTTTTAATTTCACCTTATTGTAACCGAAGCAATAAGTCAAAAAATGATTAAGAGTTTGATTACTGTAAAACAAGCACTCTACTTTCTTCTCCTTTCTGTTATTTTTTTTTTCTTCTCTTTCTCTCTTTTTCTTTTTGGACACAACAGCTTTAATGATGACAACCAACTCTCCTCAAAGGTCACTTGGAAGGAAAAAATCAGACTGAAAATTAAAGGATAGTCATATTTTGAAGGTTGATAAAAAATTAATTTTTTCTGCATTTTTATCACATTGTGGTAGATTTGGAACAGAAGAAACTCCTTAGTTCATTTAAACGAAGTTGTTAATCCCTCTTTTTGTGCTGCTAGGGTGAACAAATTACTATCACAAGTACAAAGCTTGTCAGATCTCCTAGTTTTAAGTCCGACCTCTCCAAAGAAGCCTAATGCTAAGGATCACCACATTGGAACTCCCCATAATCGTTTTGTCCGACTGTTTTTGATGGTGCTTTCTCTTCTACAAGTGGATATGCAGGAATTGATTTTGCGGTTTTTGATCACCATACGAAGTTTGTGGTGGCTACCTCGTATGTCGTGAAGCTAAGATCCCCTATCGTTTTGGAAGATTGGGCAATCCTCGAAGGCTTAAGGCTAATCAAGTCTTTGCTTTTCAGATTTCAAAATCCTGATAGACAGTTTGGATACTCCTTAAGGCTGCAAGTCAGGCCAAGTTAGGTTGGGTTGAGGCCAACCCTAGGCCCAACCCTAAGTTCTAAACCTCAACCCTAATCCTAACCCAACCTGACCTACCCAACCCTAACCCTAACCCTAACTAAATTCCTTACCCAACCCAACCCAACTTGAAGTCAACTTCAGGTTTGGTCCAACACAACCTTCTCACCATCCCTTCTCAATTTTAGATCTTAACTCAACTTTCACTACATATATTAATCCTATGTTTCATTAGTATTTGTTTATTGACGTTTTTTTATTTTTTGTTCTTTTGGTACAAAATTTGGAAAAACAAGTGTTAGAAATGACTATAGTTTATTATGAGTTGTGACTTATGATAGATCTTTTATGGGCAGCAAACGACGAAGAGGAGATGAAGAATAAAATTTTCAAAAAACATAAATAATGTTATTAAGGTTTTAGTGTTCCCGATTAGGATTTTAAGTGAAGTGATTATCTTAAAAGAAATACATGATACTATGTGGTGGGTGCTATACAAATATCATGCATATAAACAAATCAATATATGCTATATATTACATGTAACATATATTTATATATGACATGTACTATAGAATGGGGTTCGAGTAGCCTAAGGGTCAACCCTAACCCAACTTGAAGTAAAGTCGGGTTCATGAATTTCAATCCTAACCCAATCCAATCCAACATTTTCAGGTTGGGTTCAGGCCAACCCAGCCCAAATTGCAGCCTTAGTCGAGATCTCCTCCTAGTGAAATCTGGGCTATCCTATTGGACATTCTGGCTGTGAGGTGAGGTAGGGCTTTAATTTTGTTGTGTTTTGTTTTGTTTTGTAAATAGGCAAAAAATAATATTGCTCATTTCTTAGCCTGTCAGTCTCGTATAAAAGGTTCTTGGTTTTGTAATGCTCCAAGTTGATTGTGCAATGTGATCTCTCTGGATGTTTCTCCTTTTGATGTTTTAATGAAACATTCTTTTAATTACTAAAAAAAATTGGGTTCACAAGAGGTCAACTACCCTCAAAGTAGTCAATTATGTTCCAACTTCCAACATATCAACTATATATCAACGAGGCTTTTGAGAGATAGCGAGGGGAAAATTTCTAGAGGGAGATCTCTAGGAAGGTTGAAGAGGACATCGAAGATTGCAAGGGCGTCATTGTTGGAACTTCGGATAAAAGGAAAAATGGAAAAGACTGTGTCGTTATAGATAGATATAATCACTAATGAAAAACGTATGGGGATGTAGCTCAGATGGTAGAGCGCTCGCTTAGCATGCGAGAGGTACGGGGATCGATACCCCGCATCTCCATTACGATTTCAACTGATCGTTCCGGATGTGCAGCTGTAGCGTTTTGTGGGTAGCATAGATTCGGTCACGGACCGGTTTCTCAAGTTTCATGTCAACACATGGACACGTGTATATCCACGATCATAAATTCATAACCAGGTGCTTGCCACAAACTGTTGGAACAGCTGTTGCACTCCCATCTTTTTCAGAGGCGAAGAACAGTTCCTCCCTTCTCGCGTCCGAAGTCTGAATCTGAGAACAGGAATGGATCCTCCGTTTAAGCCTAGTAAGTATATCTATGGCCGAAACGAGCTGCAGCTGCTTTTGTCGATTATCCAACAAAAAATTGATAGAGAAATGTGTGGTCTTTAAGTTAATTTATTCATTTATTTATTTCTCCCGTGGGCTCTTGAGATGAACTAATTTAGTGTGGGGTAAATGTTACTGTTTGGTTTTATTGGGTTTTCCTGGGGAGAGAGTTAAAGTGGGAGCTGTTGTTGGTCTGGTTTGGTTTTAGGTTTTGGTGCTTGGAGTAGAACTAATTGAGATTATTGTCACAAAACCGTTAAGGGATTAGGGTTTTAGATTGTTGTTTTCTTTTACAGGCTCGTGTCATGTGTCCAGCATCATTTGTTGAGCCTGATGGCTTGTTTTGATAATGGCTTGTGATCTTTTGATTTCTGAGTTCGTTTTTCTTGTCTACGCAGCCTTGTGAACGGAGCTCAGGTTTTTTAATTAGGCGTGGTTGTTTTCACATGCCTAAATGTACCAAGGGGAGCCCCCACTGCTCACCTCAGGACTCTCGAGGTAGAAAGAAAAACATGAAAAGGAAAATAAGAGAAAGCCCAATCTTTATGTTATATATTGTAGTCTATCCAGGATTTTCCTCATTCAACTAAAGATAAGGACTTAGAGATACAGTTGAAAGAAAGGTGAGTGGATGGTAACATAGATAGAAAGGTGATGTGGAATTTAGGGGTGCAAGTGTGCAACTGATTTGGGCTTTTATTGAACAGTTCGGGCTTATCGTAACAATGAAATACACTTCAGCCTATGTAAGAGAGATAACAACTCTACTCTGATAGAATTGCCTTCACCTACCTACTAGTAGCCGTAGAAGCTCTACCACTACCAGTAGAAGCTCTATGACTCTACCACTACCGGTAGAAGCTCTATCAGTACCTGTAACAGCTCTACCACTACCCGTAGAATTTCTACCAGAAGGGGTACTACCAACATCACCAAACAAAACACAAATTACAAGTGTCATGTGCTTTCATAGCTGAAAAATTAATATACAAGCGAATACTAAGTTAATTCATTCCATTCCCTCTTACCAATATATAAGGTATTAACTTTTTTTTTTGAAGAGTAAAGAAAATAATTTTATTGGATTAGAAAAGCGAGTGCAAGCTGATTGGGTGTCAAGATGACACACCAAAAGAGTTAATCAAAATGGAAAAGATTCACATTACAAGCTTGGATCTCAAGAACATCCCAAAAGTTTTCCATCAAGTCTGATGGAAAACCTATATTAACACCCATCCCCTCTCATTAAATCTTATATTTACTGTATATTAAATAAATGAGTGGCTGAAGCTATTGGTTGTTATGCTTGTAAATTCCCTGGAAGCTTATAAAGTGGTATGCCTAGTTGCATGCAAATTCAGTTAAGAAACTAGCACTCACATTCGAGCTTTTGAGCTGAACTCAAACTTATTGAATATTTAGTCGAACTGAACTTGAACTGGAAAATAGAGTTTGACTTGAACTCGTAATTCAAATATAGGAGTCATAGTTGTCAAGGCAACAAGGCGCTCTTGGAGGCTTGCCTCACCTAACTACCAAGCAATTTTGTATATTGTGTTATAAAATACTTTTATATTCTTAATTTTTTGGGGTTACAATTATAAAATAGACATTATTAAACTAAAATATTCATTTTATTTGTTTATATACCAACTTCTTTTTATTATTTCTTATTTGTTAGGGTTTAATCAACACAAGCATTGCTTACTACTGTATTGAACCCTCAAGGACTTCAAAACCTGAACCAATAAATAAGAAAGAATTTAAAATTTTGTCTAATCAACACATTTTCTTCTTCTTCAACATCTTCTTCTTCTTCCACCTTTTCTTTTCTTCTTTTTTTATCAATAACAAGTAATTTTCATTAATCGTTAAGAAAAATTAAGTACAAAAAATGGGGAGTTAAACTGTCCTAACTCCCCCAGACAAGGCTGGAGCCCCCAAAGAAAAATTAAAAGACAGAATTAAAATTGAGCCCAGAACAGAGATTCTCTAGTCACCCCTTGCTTGGCTAACCCATCAGAAAATGAGTTAGCAGATCTCTTCACCCAACTGTACTTTATCTCAATGTCCTTAGCCAGCTACTTGATTTTTTTTTTTTCTTTTCATTGATGTAACTCCACATTCCAGTTTTATCTTCTTTTAACCATCCTATTTCCACCTCCGAGTCACCTTCAATTACAAGCCTCCTTATATTCATTTCTTTTTCTCTTTCAATTCCTTCCAAGGCAGCAAAGACCTCAGCCCTAAGGCAATCACCTTCACCAATTGGGCCTGAGAAAATGGCTGAAACATTCCCATGCTCATTCCTGAAAACTCCTCCAATACCATATTGCCTTGGGTTCCTTATACTATTGCCATCAAAGTTAAGCTTTTCTTTTCTTCTTTTCCTATAACAAAAATAGGGGTTCATCTCCTATATTTTTTGAATTGTCTTTTCTTTCTTCTGTTTTCTTCTCCTGAATATGTTGGTTTTCTATTCTTTAACATGAAGTTTATACTTTTCTTATGAAAATTATGGATAATTATTAAGTAAACATGGTTATGGAACCTAGGGAACTACCCTAAGATATTGTTTTTACAAAACCCATATCCCAGGTGACTAGGTGACAAGGCTCCCCCCTGTTGACTAGCCTCGCTTTGGCACCTTGAGAACTATGATAAGAGTATTTCAGCTGAGCTGAGCTAAGACATGCCGAAGTTTGACTCAGCTTGATTCGATTGCACCCCTGATGTTAATGATAGCATGGAAAAACAACTCTAATATCAAGCCATATGAATCTATTTTAATTGCTCTCAGAACAAAGATAGAATCTGGCCAATTCAGATCATCCATCAGATTCCTTTCGTCTGGTTTGGTTGGATTTTGAGTAGCTCATATTTGGAGTCCTTCCCTTTGGGAATGTATTTGGACACATCCCAATCTTGACAAAGTGATCTTGCCTCTAATTGTTTATTACTCAAGCAGTACCTATTGTCTTTTCACAGAGAATGCCTGATTATCAAATATAGGATGTGCTCAAATCTGTTCCCCTTGGTTTTTGTCATCTTTTCTACCTAATTTGCCTTTTCCTCTTAGGATTGATTATGTAAAGAGCTCTCATGAAGGGTCCCAAGTTCATATTGCCATATTTGATGCACAAACATGTCCAAAACAATAGATCTTAGTTTGCTAAACCTCCTTAAAAATGGTTTGTCTTGGTTATGTTGCCTATCACGATATGTGTATTTGTGAAGTCAATATTATTTATTGTAAACTTGTCTAGCTGCACTTTCTCAAGTCCATATGCTTTACAAGTCACTACACTAAGGATAAGATTTGAATTGAGAATGTTCTAGCATTTTATTAGTTCAGTGTGTTTGCAATCAAATTTATTTACATGCATTGGCTAATACCTTGTACCATAAAATGAATTAGATTTCAGGTTTTTCTTTGTAAGTCAAACTATTCAATTACCAATAACAAACTAAAAATTCATACGAGGATATTGAAATTTTCATATGAATGCTTTAGGTTTTCCAGAAAATTTGATGCACAAAAACCGGTTACATGAATATGCACAAAAATCAGCTATCCCACTTCCTGTTTATAGCTCTGTTAATGAGGGAGCTCCGCATGCACCAAAGTTCAGGTCTACAGTTTTGATTGATGGAGAAACTTATACATCATTTAGGACATTCTCAAATCGCAAAGCTGCAGAGCATGATGTTGCAAAAGTTGCATATGAGCATATACAGAAAAAAATTAAAGAAAGTTGTCCTATAATTCTTGAGGTATGTCCAATGGCTTTTCCTTTTTGTGATCATCATTTTTTTTTTTGACTTTGGATGGTTTAATTTGCAACCTTGTATTGTATCTTGTGCTATGCAAATTCCAAGTAGGGTTTCCTGATATTAATTGATCCTATGAGCAACTTTGCTGAGTCATAATTTTTAAGTTTATTTGGTGATTTTGATGAGTAAGCTTCAATTTTTATCTGTTTATATTTTTTTTTAAATTCGTTACCAGAAACTGAAAGATTGCCTTATTGGTTGTCTGCCCTACTTTTGCGTTTCATAGTACTCTTTCTTTTGTTTTATTAGAGACTAATGTTGAAAGTTTTTTTTGATCGATACACAGAAAAAAAGATTTCATTGAACTGATTAAAGAGGCACAACAAGAAGTTGTGAAGATTACAAATAGACACCTAATGTCCAAACCCCCAAAATTACAATTGAGCCCAAAACATAGTGTCTATGTACTCCTTGTTTAGCTAAACTATCTGCCAAACTGTTGGCCGATCTAATCCAATTACTTTGAATCAACATATCCCTGGAAAGCCTTTTGAACCTCTTAAGGTCATTTCTTAGGTGCCACGAAATTCCTTCCCCTTTCTTTAATCCACAACTCCTTCCCTAGTTCCTTGGCTTTATCAAGCCCATGCTAAGAGTTCTGTTGATGCCACATCATTTTGCCCAGCTGGGCCCGAGAAGAAGGCACATATATTACCTTCTTCATCCCTGATAGCTCCTCCAATTCCAGTGGGGCCTAGATTACCCACACTACTCCCATCAAAATTCAGTTTCAACCAACTGCAAGGCAGGGGAGACCAGTCCTCCATTGTAATTTGTCTTCTCGAAGAAGAGGCAGCTATAGCTCCCCAAGCCCTAAAGTTTTGACCAGTCCACCATTGAAAATCTTGACCCAGTGAGCCACTCTTAGAGTTTTAATCAGTGCTTCCTTGTTCCTCTCCTTTCCCCCAAAGATTCTAGAATTTCTTTCCTCCCAAACTGACCAAATAACTGCTGCCTTTGTGTGGTTCCACATCAACTTACCCCTTTTAGTAGAACACCAATGTTCAGAGAACCGGAGAAGGGAGAGGTTCACTGTTCACTTCACGGGTCAAAGGTTCGACTGAGATTGAACCGTGATGGCGTGGCATATACATATATATACTACAGGTCATATAAATACTATATATAATATATTTTACAACTTTTAATGTACTTAAATATGGTGGATGTATGGTAAGCTTCTTAATTTTTAAAACAAATGACAAGGGTTCAAGCCTTTTAACTTACATTTTCTTTAAAATACTTGCAATAATAATGTAATATGTATAATAAATAGTCATTAATTAGCATAAGTAAAGAGGTGGATTACTGGTAATTAAGTAATTTGTGAAAATAAGAGGTCTTGAGTTCAAATCTTGTTAACAACATTTTAAAATCCGCTTGTGTATGAACCCAGGCGGTTTCATGAAACCAGGACTGGTTTTCTGGTTCAACTGGCCGGTTAGTTGGTTTTCAGCGGGTTTTGAGCAAGTCCGGTTATTGGGGTATGACCAAACTGGTCAGGGCCTTGGGTCATGGTTCAACTGGCTGGTCTGGTCCGGTTTTCTAGACACTGTAGAACACCTACAAATAGAAGGGTTGAACATCCCTTCCAAGCTAATAGGAGAGAACCACCTGCAACAACCAAAAAGTGAAGCAAACCACTCCCAAATAAAGCCAACAAAAGGACAAAAGATTTGAAGGGGAACTGCTGTCTCATCATTAATCTTACACAAGCTGCACAGGTTGGGGGACAAACACTAGTTTAGCCTCTTCCCTTGAAGCTTATCACATGTATTATTATTTTTTTGTCAGCAACACAAAATGATTTATTAATTGTAAAATGGAGGAGTTATCACAAGTATTAATGCAACCATGAAACACTTCCCAACAGAAAGTACTGACTCTAGGAGGGATGGGAGAACACCCAATTTCTTTAACAGGGAAAGAAGAGGAAGGTGGAGGTGAGGAATCTACAAGGGAGTAAAAGAAGGATTTACAGGTGAAATTCCTGGATGAACAAAGGCTCCAGACCCTGCTGTCCTCACCCCCAACCCCAAGGACCACTGGATTCAATAAATAGAGTAAACCAGAAACAGGGGGAATTTGAAAGTTATATTCCTTAAGTTTGAACTTTGAAATTTTACATGTGATACTAAGCTCTTAGGAAGATCCCCACCCTTAAAATTTATGCTTTTTTAATTATAATCCGTGTAAAAGGGAACAAAGAAATTTTGGAGAAATATTAAACTCATGGATTTATTTCTTTTCATTTAAATTTTTATGAGCAACCTAGACATCTAGTTTTAAACTTTAAATCATATTAGTGTAGAGAACTAGGATCAAATCCTTGTAGCCACATATAGTAATTACTATTTCTTTTTATCTATAACTTGCTATAATTGATCAAATGGAAAAGGGGAATAATTACTTTGTTAATGTTGAGTGGGGCCACCGATTTGTGTTGTTGAGTAGGCCGATTTGTGTTTAGTTTATTTTCTTTTAAATTAAGAAGTTGTTGGGCCTTGGGCTCATTAGTTTTTATTTTTGAAAAGGGTTGTAACTATTTAGTTTGAGTTGCCACCCTACTAAGGGCATCTTTGTAATATCTCATATTTAAGTTAAATATAAATAGAATGAGGGGCTGGTGGCTAGGGTTATGACACACAATCCTAGTTGGCCTTCTTCTCCTTTCTTCCCTTTTCTCTTTCTATTGCT